ACTGGGGTGGAAGATGTCAGACGGGAAAAGTGGGTCGATACCAGTGATATGTTTTAGAAGTAGAATTGGCAGGTCCTCATGATGGAATTAGAGGTCTTCGAGCCAGGCTGGCCCTGAGCACCTGCTCATTTCTCTTATAATAGCGTGATGGTAGCCGTGGAACACAATATGGTGCTTTTTTTCTAAAATTTTATGCTTGTGAGAAGATGCTTTCTCATGGCAGTTGTACAGCCAGGAGTTGCCTGTGTCTCCCAGGGATGATCTGTTGTGTTGAGAGGAGGTGGGGGAGGAACGATCCTTTGTGTGTGGAGTGGGCCCTTCTTATTCAGAAATGGGGAGGCAAGTTTGTTATATAGTCCATTTCATCAGTGGCCTTAAGGGAGAGTGGAAGGGGTGGGGGCCAGCTAGCATTTGATCTTAGAATAACAGTGGCGTTTATCCTTTAAGGTTTCTCAAGGATTTTGAAGAAATAGAAGCAATTGGCTTCGGTGCATATGGCAGTGTTTTCAAAGCAAAACACAGACTTGATGGGACGACTTACGTTATTAAATGTGTTAAATACAATAACGAGTAAGTAGCAAATGTTTTGTTTCATTTTTTTAAATAAGATATGTTGAATTGTATTATTCTTCTTTATGCATCTGTCTTCTTCATGAGTATATTATTTACTTTTTCCCAGTCCTCCTTAAAAATGTTACTCTGGCCCCGCTGGCATGGCTCAGTTGCGAGTTGACCTATGAACCAGAAGGTCACGGTTTGATTTCCGATCAGGGTACATGCCCAGGTTTTGGCTAGATCCCCAGTAGGGGGTGTGCAAGAGGCAGCCAGTCAGTGATGTTTCTATCTCTCTTTCCCTCTCCTTTCCTCTCTGAAATCAATTAAAAAAATATATATATTTTAAAATCTTAGTCTATCATCAGGAGCTTGGCTTACTCACAGCACTAGGTGTTAGACTACCGGGGTCCGACCGGACCTTGGTTCAGCAACTTCGGTACTTGAGTTCTGGCTAAGAAAGAATACAGAGCCAAGACTCCAACTATGAGAGAAAATCACAGAGTTGGAAGAAGTAATTCATAAAAGAAATGGGATTAGGAAACAAGTGATAGAGGCAAAGGAAGGGTCCTTGAAGTTTGGGAATTAGGAAGGTAATGGTAACACGCTGGGGGGATGGGGATGGGGATGGGGAGGGAGAGGAGAAGATGCAGGCCTGCTCCTGGGAGGGAGAGCTCACTGAGTCCTCAGTCCTAAGGGTTTTAAGGGTGGAGATTTTAGGGAAGGTCCCAGGGGAAGATCTTAATAGAATATTCAGCAGCTTTCCAGGTGTGTCCTTTCAAGGTCAAGGTCTCCACTGATTGGTCAGTGCCAATGCAGCTGGTCCTGAGGTCAGCCATGAGATCACTTATTTGGTTTTGCTGCTTTTCTGGGCCTGGAGCTGAAATACAACTGAGGCCTAGATGTTATCTCTAGGGAGGAAAGGTTAGGGATTCCAAAATGCATGACCAGCAATATGCTAGGAGGAGGAAAGGTCACCCTGGGGGCAAGATGTCACCCTATAATTGTCCTTTTCTAGGCACCCAAGGCTTTTCCCTTTAGTGACCTTCTGTACCTGGCCCACACTCCTTGCTCTGCTCGGGTCTAACTGCCTACCACAAGTCTGTTAAGGCTGTCTTGATGAAAACGCAAGTTATAGAGTCATTTAGCTCAAGGTGACCTTTGAGATTTTCTAGTTTCATCTCCTGACTCGTTTTCCAGCAATTGTTACTTCGTCTAAGTTGGCCAGACTGATCCTTCAAAGACTAGAGAAGGGCAGAAAAGGTGGAAAAGAGATATGTAGAGTGGGCTGAGCAAAGGAGAAACAGTCAAAGAGTCCTAGGTGCTCTTCATCCCAATCACACCTACTTCCTGTCCAAGGACAATACCTTGCTTGGCTTTGGAAACACCTTTATGCCTCCTTGGCATCAAAACAAGCTTTTTCGGAGAAAACCAAGATGGCGGCATAGGTAAACACCGGAAATTGCTGCCTCCGACAACAACTTCAAAAATACAACTAAAAGACAGAACGGTCATCATCCAGAACCACAGGAAGGCTGGCTGAGTGGAAATTCTACAACTAGAAGGAAAGAGAAGAGCACACAGACTCAGAGGAGCTACGAAAGTAAAGTGCAGAGGTACGGAGGCTCCGGCG